GCTCTTCATTCAGTGAAATCTCTGGTGCTGATCCAATATATAACATAGATAAAAGCAGAGCTGCTCAGGAGAAAGCAGGTCGTGGTCTCTTGGGACTACTTAATGCACCTGAGGCCACACACAGAATGGAATCTTATTCTGAATTAGATAGAGACACAAAAGGGCTTTTCTGCCTCAACACAGCTTTTCAAGTAACCTTTATTACTTTACAAATAATAGCAATAATTCTTTGGTTATGACTATACACTTGTTAAAATGTAAATGCTCTTGAAGGGGTAATTAAGTCAATCTATTATTTTATTAACACTAGAATAAATTGTTTTTACATCCTATCCCTTAAGGCAAGAAAGCAGATAATAAAATATTAAGATACAAAGAAAAAATACATAGTAGGAAAATTTGAGGATATTGAAATAAAAATTTTGGCTACTTCACAATTTCTATAAGATTGAGATTATCTGTTATCTTAACATAATTGTAATTAAATTTTATAATGGGAATATGATATATAGGCTACTGCATTTAGATGAACTATAGATTTAGGAAATTGGAATCAGGAGTCGGCACAGTTTGACCAGGAGAGAAGAGAGTCAGAATTGCAAATCTCAATGGTAAGCATGAAAAGTTTGGTAATTTGTGTAAGATTATTGAGTGAGCAATCAAGTAGCCACTTGGAAACAATTCTCCACGAGTTTCTTGTGATTCTATACATCTTGTAAAAAGCCATTGACAGCTGTGTTCTGAATTATTTTTTCAAGAATTTTTATATAGCAAACAGCCTTTGAAAAGAGAAATAGTGTTTCCTTCCTGTGCAGGGGGTAGATTAATTTCTTTACCAGGGTAATAAAAATAATGTCTCCTTCAAGGGGAAAGATAGGGAAGGTCTTCTAGCCTCCCCCTTATAAAGCTGATGGTTTCCTAACCAATCCTAACCACATCGTGTTGCCTGCTGTGCTGTGAGTAATAATGACCTTCATCTCTGGCCTAGAGTCTCTGTCTCCTGCTAGCATCTATAAAATTGAGGCAGGCTAAATTGTTAGCTTACAAGTAGAATAAAACAGCAGACCTTTCTACAGGCTTTATGGAAGTATGTGATATGCAAAATGTCGAGAACTGAATGTGTGATGCCCAGTAAGTAAGTGGTATGATAGGGCCTATGCTAGCCAAGAACTGAAAAAAAAAAAAAAAAAAAAAGTTGAAGGAAAAAAAAAAAAAAAAAAAAAAAAAAAAGAATTCCCTCAAGTCACTGGGAAATTCTGAAGGACAAAAGAGAAGCAAATGTTTGCAAAGGGCTTTCCTTATGTCTTGAAGGTTACTGGCATTATCAGCCCTGAGGCCACCAGGCCTAGTATTATTACATTCTCTACCCTGTTTCTGCAGGTCATCACAAAGAAACCAGAATTGTCACACCATTCCTCGATGCCTTTGCTTTAATACCTATGTGACTGTCTCTGTCTCTCCTGGGCCCTCCTGATACATACAATCTATCCTCCTTCTCTGTTATGTTTTTCCCCAGAACATTCATGATCATTTGACTAGTATTCGTGAATGTTATTATCTCTTGATTTGACTTCTTTCAATATAAGCTTTGTAATATTAGAGATTTTTGTCTTTTTCATTCACTTATTAATTTTCACTTCCTAGAATAGCTTCTAGAATTCTGTAGGTAATAAAGAAGCATTAGTCAAATGAATTAATGAACAGATGAATGAATGAACAATGGAGGGTTGTGGTTAAGTTGAACACTTTCCATTTATTTCAAACCTTTCAATCATTTCATGCTTTGTTTGCTAGACCACCTTCCTTTGAATATCTCTTAATCTTAATTCCTGAAACATTGACTAAGAGGACAGGTTTTCAAATGTATCTAAATAGTAATAGACACTTTCCTTTCATTTTTTCCTCCACTTAGCTGCCACCATCCTCACTTTCCAAAACTTATAAAGTGCATGAAGATTTAAGGGAAAATATAAATACAATAAGCTTGTGATTCAAATTTATTGCTAATGATCACATCATCTTTGGTAGGTGATATCAAACAAAGATATCTTCAGAAAGGAAAAATGTACTTGATGTCTGGTTCAAATGACATATATATGGGTCAATAGTTTTAAGCGAGAGAAAATACTTTATCTTTCAATAGAAATCTAAGCTGATGTTTAACATACAGATTTTATATATTATTTATCTACAGAAAATTTAGTTACAATTCATACCCCTTTTCATTTTAATATTTAAAAGGCACTAAAGTAGTATACAGTTTTGTTACGAATCTTTTTGATTTTTAATTGTGGACTGCCCCGTGACTAATGATGTCCTGAGCCCTCTGAGTGGGGACTTGTCTTTCCATAAGATATTATAAGTAAATGGTGTCGGTGTTGATGCAACTGGGACATTTAAAGCTGCCAGATTTTATTTCCTACTGCTTATTTTGCATCTCAGCATTTAGCAATCATTGTGCATGAAATTCTGTATGTGTAAGCCTTAGATTTTTGCACGTTTTACAAATTTATAAAACCCAGATTCAAGCAAAACAAGTTAATGTTTGAATTTGTTTCCTTTGAAACAAAACAATACCATTATCTCCAGCTGAAAATTATTTATAATTTCTTTACATTGTCTGGTTACATTCAGTGACTGAAATGTATAACTGATGGCAGAAGCGGCCCATCTGTAGATGCTGCAGCAAAGACACCGGCTGTGGGGGAGGTGGGGGCGCGGCTTGAGGCCAGGGCAGCTATCTACTCAGAGCTGGTGGGAGCCAGGAACAGGCAGGAGCCCCACCAACTTCCGAGTTGGTGGGACAGGAGCCATTCCAAGTTGGTGGGACAGGAGCCCTGCCCTCTCAGGCACAACTGCAGCTAGCCAGCAGCAGCCAGGAACCCAGGCATCCCTGAGCTCTTAGAAACCCAGTAAGCCCAACTGCCTTGCAGGCTGAGAAATGGCTGCTCCTGCCTGGCCTCTCCCTGCTCATGATGCCCACTCCATTTTCAGAGTAAAGCTGTCTTCAAACCCAAGCACTGTCACAACCTGGCTGGGTGTGCACATGCTCAGGGTGGTGCTGACATGCCAGCCCTGCCACCTTGGTCCCCTCCGTGGGGACTCCACCTTGGTCCCCTCTTGGTCTCCCACCTTGGTCCCGTTTGGGTGCTGAACAGCACAGGAAGAAGGCCAAGTAGGGGTCTGAGGGCAGCTTGGCATGGGACTGCAGACACCCCTTGGCAGGACAGCCTGGGCACCATGAACAGTGGCAGGAGGCAGACAGGCTCCTGAGTGGAAAGGGACAGGTCCCGAGTGATACCCTACCTTTAAACCAGAGATGGTCTGAAGCCTGAGGGCCAGGGTGCTACTTCTGAGGACCAGAATGACAACTTACAGTGCTTTTTCCAGGCCAGCCCATGGTTGCCCATGGACCAATCAGCAGGCACTTCTTCCCTTCTGAAGCCCACAAAAATCCTGGATTCAGCCAGACTTGGGCAGATGATGAGAGGATCTGACTGTGGATAGGACCTACGTGCTGTGGGTCTCCTCTCTGCTGAGAGCTGTACAGTCATCAGGATGACCTCCCTGTTGGTAGGAGCTACCCACTCCAGGTCACCTCTCCACTGAGGGCTGCAGAGATTTTGGGATGACCTGCCTGAAGAGAGCAGTTTCCCACTCTGGGTCTCTTCTCTACTGAGATGTGCACACACATGAGGATGAACTGCCTGTGGAGAAAAGCTACCCACTCCAGGTTTCCTGGGAGCTGAGCTGTCACTCAGTAAAGTACTTCTTTGCCTTGCTCCACTTGTCTGTGTACTTCATTTTTCCTGGATACAATACAGTAACTCAGGACCTGCCAAATGAAAGGACTGAAAGAACTGCAATAAAAACAAACCTGAAATATGCCCACTGCCCACCACGTTATAGATGAGAGAAGAGGGAAGAGCTGTGGCCCTTCAGGGATCTCAGACTTAGGAGCTCCCTGAGCCAGGGCTGTGACAGCCTCTTTGGGGCTCTGCAGTTCCTGGTGTCTCCAAGGTTCTGGGTGCCACCATTTCCCCCAGTGCCCACTGAGGAAGAGGCTTGTGGTATGCCTGGTTCCATCGCCAAGGAAGCCAGTAGCTGTGCCCAGCGCTGTAGCTGACCACCCCACCGCAGCTGGTATGCCAGGCTGTACGTAGTAGCCAAACTCCATGCTTGCTCACTTGCTCATACTCTCCTCACCACTCCATGCCTGGCTCCACCTTGAAATGCATGGGACTCAGGCCGGTAGCAAAAGCCAAGCCCAGACTACCTGTCCAAGTGAACAGGATGAACCCAGTGGGCTCAAGCAAAACTAAGGCAAAGGTGCCACTGGCCACAGAGTTTTCTGGCTGGGAAAGCGACACCCTAAGGATCCCATGACATTTTTGGGGGGCTTCCCTGGGATCTGTGGAAGGTTGAATGAAAGTGGACTTGCTGGTTTCTCTCCTTTCCTCTGAGTCTCTAAACTCCAAAATAGCCAAAATCAAAAACACTGGACTTCTGTTAGCCAGTGAAAAGTAACTGTTGTGGCTGTGGGACTTAAGACATGGAGGACAGGCTTGCTTAGGACAAAACCATTAATCTCCAATCATCTTCCAGTGTTGGGAATGCTGGCTCCCTTCACAGAGTTCTAGACATCACACGGAATCCGAAGGAGGTCCTGGGGCAGCTGAGGGTAGCTGGCTGAGGCTACACCTCAGTGTTATCCAAAGGCCCCTGGACTAACTTTAATCCCCAGCCACTTGTTAGAATGTCAACACTAAGACCCCCAGTCCCTCTCTTCCTCCCTCCCTCTATCCTGTCCTCCCTCCCTCTGTCCCATCCTCCCTCCCTCCCTTCCTCCCTTCTTTCCTTCTTTCCTTTTTTTCTTTCTCTCCCTCCCTTTCTCTCTTTCTTTTCTTTCCTTCCTTCCTTCCTTCTTTCTTTCTTCCTTTTTCTTTCTTTCTCTCTTTCTTTCTTTTCTTCCACTCCTTCTTTCTCTCCCTCTTCTTCACTGTTTCTTTCCCTCCCTCTCTTCCCCTCCCCCACATCTCCTCCCCTTCCCTCCTTTCCTGGTTGTCCTAGCTCCTATCTCTTCTTTATATACAATGTTATGGGTATTGTTGCAAACCACATAAATATTACTGAATAGAGTGAGCATTTTTGGCTTAGTCATCAGGAGTGTAAATGAGAACACTGTGGTATCTGTCTATTGTTAGGAGCATGGAGCATGTAACAATTCAGAGTTTTCTTTCTCTTGCTGAAGAACCCATTTGCATAGGGCAAGACACTTTTTTCTCCAAGCACCCTACCTTTCCTTGCACTTAAGTTGGTTTCTTCTCTTTTCTTCACCATGTCAGGAGTTAACATAGTCCTGAAAAATACAGGGAATTTTTCTATGTGAGAGGCTTATTTGTTTTTCCTCTTGAGAAGCATCTTGTTAGGCCAGGTCCCCAATTACCTAGAATCCCTTTCTCTCCCTTGTTTGAGGAGGACTGGGTCCCAGTTTTACCTGCTTATGCTAGGGAAGCAACAGAGGGGCTGCTCCACCAGTTGCTCTCTGCAATTTCATGAGGGCCACCTGGCACTTATTAATTAGTACATACACCCTCCTGAGACAATTCCAATCTTTGGTTTGAGACCCTAGAAAGGAAAACTAGATCTAAGGTGTCTAGAAGCAGATAACCATGGAAGTCTAGGGGCACAGTATACAAGTGAGCACGACTAATTCCTGCCAATTAGGTCCTCCCATTTTATAGATGGAGGTCATGCTTGCATTCACGGCATAGATAGGGTCTAGGGAATTCAAAGGTTACTGACGGTGGGAATTTTAAGCACTGCATAGGTGAGTGCAAATATTCCTGCTGACTATGCCTCCCTGCTTCATGAGTGAAGGCTACACTTGCACTCACCTGCAAAGGTCACCTGGATATGGGATATAAGGTCAGAAGTAAAAAGAGGATGATTTTTTTCCTCTCTGTCACATAGCCCAGTTATTCACTGGGAAGACAAATGGACAAAGAGATACGTTTTTCCCCTTTCTCCAGATGAGTAACAAATTAACTTCCACCTGCACTCCTCTCAAGTGCATCCTGAATTATTGGGACACTTTTCACCCTCAGACACCGGAGAGAAAAAAAATGTCTTTTTCCTCCTCTCTCCTCCCTTCAAAATGGGAAACCAAATATTTTCAGCCTATATTCTGCCTATACATCTTTGCCTATACTTTTTTCAGCCTATACTTCTTGGCCTTGCAGGCTCTGGATAAAAGGCACCTCATATTCCTTTGCACAAAGGTATGGCCAAATTTTGTTCTTCAGGAAGGAGAAGCATTTTCTCAGGATAGAAGCATTAATTTCAATACCACCCTGCAGCTGGTCCTTTTCTGTAAACATGAGGGCAAATTCTCCAAGTTCTCATATTTGCAGGATTTCTTTGCCTTGCAAGGAATGCTGGACCTTTGTCAACATTGTAGGATTAATTCAGCCTTCCTGATGGCCATCTAGGGAGAGGCTGCAAGGGAATTACCAGGGAACTAGAGAAGCAAATCCCAGAGGTACCTCCAGCAGGGGAGGCAACTCCCTCTGCTTCTCCCTATCCAGGTTCTCTATATCCAAGTTCTCTCTCAAACTTTTCATGTCCTAGAAATGTTTGTCTAAGCAGGCCCCAGTCTCACTCCTGCCCTTGCAATAGATGCCTCGTGAATATGGCCACATTAAGGTCCAAGACCCCTTTTCTCTATAGGATTTCAGGCAAATTAAAGGAGATCTTGGCATGTTTTCAGATGAGGCTGACAGGTATATAGAGGCTATCCAGAATTTAACCCAAGTATTTGAACTCTCGTGGAAGGATATTATGATACTTTTGAATCAGACCCTGACTACTGTTGAGTCTGCCCCACAGATTCTGGCCTAGTGATGGATGAAAGGAGTTTGCAGACACAGGCTTGCCTGTCCATGAGGCTAGGGGGCTCATGCCAGAGTACACAGCAGCCACAATAAGCCAGCAACACTCACATTTATTGAGTACATATTTAATGAAAAAGGTCTAGTGCAAACACCTTTTGTGGGTAATTAACATTGTCAACCCCCTGAGTAGAGAGCAGTCCTGTGCATGAATGATAAAAGGTTGGTTTTAGCACAACATGAGTAAACAAGATATTTATTTAAACTCCTCTACAGTCCCTTGTTATCTTTCTTTGCTATTAGCTCAGGGTAAGATAATTAGGCTGCCTTCAGCCATAACCCTTTCCAAAAGCTTTTGCAAAACATTCCAGCCTTCCAAGAAGGTTTGCATCTTTCATATAATTTTTCCCACCACCCTGACCAATACCCTACATCTCCCCCTTTTCTGTTTTTTTGCATCAAATTTTGTTGATTTGCAGAGTACAAATGTGTACAGCAACAGGTTTGTCAGGCACAGCAGTTATAAGTCGTGTTGTGGATTTGCATTTGCATCCTAAAATTAGTAAATAACATAAGGCAAAAGTGAGTATAATCAGTAACATTCTTTTCCAATCAAGTATAAAAGTGGTCTTTTAAGTCAATAATGACTATAGGCCAATCTTGAGAAATTGCCATGGCAGAAGGAAGCTCCTGTTGAAGAGGCCACATAGGTTGCAGATTAGCATTAATAGCCCATAGGTCATACAAAAGTCTCCATTTTCCAGACTTTTTGGGAATGATGACAATGGGTAAATTCCAAGGGCTGTTAGATGGTTCTTTATGGCTGATGTTTAATTGTTCCTCAAGTAATTCATGGGCTCACTGTAATTTCTCTCCATTTAAAGGCCACTGTTCTATCCAAATAGGATTTTGAGAGAGCCACATTAGGGGAAGGGGAGGAATAACAGTGGCCAATATTAGAAAACAGTTTGCTGTTCACATGATTCTTCAAATTCTTGCCCTACAGAGGCAGTGTTGACTGGTGCCTAAAGTTGTTTTAGCTAGCACTGACCAGTCCCATGGAGTCATATGGAAGTTTTCTGCTATGGTTTCAATTAATCCTTTCGTAAATGGTCTAGCAGCTTCGTTTTCTCTAATGCTTTCTCTTATTTCCCTATAGGCATCTAATGAAATGGTTTGATATGTCTGATTGCCTTGTCGATCCTGCATTACTGGGCAGGCCAAGAACTCCCCTTGTAATGCTGCTTACCTAAGACAGGGTCCCCTAGCTGTAGTATCTCCCTTGTAATTTTTTTCCAATTTATTGGGAGAGAGGGCTCAGGGGAACCTGCATTTCCTCTGTGGCACTTCTACTCAATAATGGTAGGGCTGATGGAGAAGTAAGAGGTGCTGAGGTAGGTGATGATTCCTCTTCCCTTCCCTTTTTAGGCTCTTCGATATAGAATGGGGCCAAAGCGGCCCTGACTAAGGCCCTTAACATTAAAGATGTTAGTTACTGGGACCCGTTGCCCTTGTGCTTGATTCGTTTAAGATTTCTCCCCACTTGTTCCCAGAGCTCTAGCATGCCTTCTTCTGGGCACCATGGGTTATGGGAAACAACAGTCTGCATTAGGTCCCTTAACTGAGCCTGTGAAACTGAGGCTCTACTTGCATTTAGCAGCTGTTTTGATACTTTCATATACTTTTTCTGTTGTTCTAATAACTGTTGTCCTATGATGAAACCCTAGCTAGAACGATTCCCTCAAATTTCAAAATCCCTAGCAGGCACCAGTAACTTACTGACTGCACAGTCTCTTCACCTTCATTTATGAGGGTTCTGTCATGATCCATTGCAGCATTCCTCATACGGGGTCATAAGTGAAGGATGAAAGGAGTTCGCAGACATAGGCTTGACTGTCAGCATGGCCAGGGTGCTCCTGCCAGAGTCAGCAGAATCCCTGATAAGCCTGATTTAATGATTTTGTACTGATTTAATGACAAAGGACTGGTGAAAACAACATTTGTGAGTGATTAACATTGTCAATCCCCTGAGTAGAGAGCAGTAATGTACATGAATGATCAAAGGTCAGTTTTAGGACAACATGAGTAAACAAGCTGTTTAGATAAACTCTTCTACATTCCCTTGTTATGTGCTCTTTGCTATTAGCTCAAGCTAAGTGGATTAGCCTGCCTTAAGCCATAACCCTTTTCCAAAGCTTTTACAAAACCTTACAGCCTTCCAAGAAGGTTTGCATCTTTCCTATAATTTTTTCCACCATCCTGATTGATCTCCTACAGACTACCATTGAAAAGCAGGCCACCCTGCAAACAGCAAAGTTGGTGGGGAATGAGCTTTTTACCGCATGTAGTTCCAGGGAATGGGTGGAGCCTTATGATGAAATGGGAGAATGGAAGAGGAAACACTTTCAGGTGTGTATATTTTGGCGGGCTTAAAAAGGACTAGAATAAACCTTTCAATTAGTTCAAGTTATCCATGATAGAATTGGAAGTAGATGAGAATCCCACTTCCTTCTTCAAAAGACTGGAAGGGCCTTTGTAAAGCACACCTCTCTGTTTCCTTATCCAGCAAAAAAAATATCTAATCTGAAAGAGTAAATTTACTACTCAGGGTAATTTTGGGGGTACAAAAAATAGGGAAAAAAATAGGGTTCAGAACCTCCATCTCATTAATCAAGCTGTGGTTTCAATTCACCTGGTGGTTTCCATTCCCTATACTCTGCTAACCCACATACCTGAGGGAACTAAATGGTTCACAGTCCTGGACCAAAAGGATGCATTTTCCTGCATACCATTTGTATATGTCTGTTTTCATGCTGCTGATAAAGACACACCTGGGACTGAGTAATTTATAAAGAAAAAGAGGATTGATTCACAGTTTCACCTGGCTGGGGAGGCTACACAATCATGGCAGAAGGTGAGAGGCACATCATAGATGGCAGCAGACAAGAAAGAATGAGAACCAAATGAAAGGGTTTCTTCTTATAAAATCATCAGATCTATATTCTATTCAGAAGGTAAATCTATGGTTGTACTATATTTAAACTTTTGGAGCCAACAAATATATGGAAATAATAAGAGTGCATCCAGATGGGTGGAGATTAGTTTCTCCATCGGCAGTTGAACATCAAGTATGTAGTTTGCTGATAGGAGGTTAAAATTAGCAGTTCAAATTAGTGGGAGAGGAAGTACTTTGTTAAATAAGTTGACCTTAAATTATTTAAGTGGCATGGCACGGTTCTAGAATTATCTTAAAGAAATGGTATTATTAAGCTTTATCAGCTGCCCGCTCCCACATCTCCTATCTGTTTTTTTTTTTCTCTACTGGGCTCACATTGAAATAAAAAAAGGGTCCCAGAATATTACGTTAAATTTATTTAAAATTTAGTAGATTTATTTTATGCTAGCAAGGGAACGTGTTAAGAGGAAAACTTAGAGAATTCTAGAGCTTTAGCATTTAGGAATATTTGCA